TCCACTGCTCATTTGAAAATTCTGTTGTTGTTCTGCCCGCACACACAGCCCCAGGAAATGGCCCTATCGATCAGTTTCCTTGATGGGGTGTTGCTCTCTCTGCAAAGGTCAGTCGCATTGCCACACTAGGTACCGACAGTGCCCTTCCTCTTTGGGATCATTCATAAAAATTAAGAATTATTCTCACCTCCCCCACATGCCCCTGCTCACCAGGTCTCTCTGGACAGGCGCTGGGTTCTAGACCATTTACTTCTCTAAGCTCTGGCTTAGCAGTTCTGCCACCCGAGTGTAAGCCTCCCCACCAGCCTCCTTCACCCTACAGCTGCCTCTGCAGGTTCACGTATCACCTCCCGAGCTTGGAGTTCCACCTGCCTAAACTGGGCCTGCTGCCATCCTGAAGCCAGCCTCTGATCCCAGAACTGAGGCCAGAGCCTTGGGTGACTCCAGCCTGGCCTCAGAGTGGAATAGAGGCCTTGATACCGGGGAGTATCAGATTTATACTCTCTCACTTTCCCTGGTAGATACTGCTGACTCCCATCTTTTACTAAATTAATCTACTGCCTTTTCTCCTAGACATCCAAAAGGTATTAGTCGGCTTTGCCATTGTAGTATCTGAAGACAAAATATTTAGTCCCAGGTCAGAAACTGTGGCTGAAATTTCCTACTAAAAAGCCAGACGTCATGATTAAATTGTCAGAAAGTTAGCCATGATATCTGAGGAAGTTATGAAATGCCTATAAATGATGTAAGCTCTGCAGTGGGCAAACGTGTTCACAACTTTTGACATCTGGGGAAGAGAGTTAAGAGCCACGAGCTCAGCCAGCTCCCACTGACCAGCGCAGCATGAAGTCCAATTAGGGCTGCTTTTAAAGGGGGTGATTGTGCTGAGTGGTGTGGACGCCGCTCCCAGGGGAGCAGGGCTGTTGGAAGGAGCTGTCCAGATGGCTGTCTCCCAGCCTCCTCTGAACCACGGAGACCCCTCCTGTGAATTGGATGGGGGATTTCCTTGCCCCTCAATTGCTATTCCAGACCCTCTTCCTGTGAGTGGGGTTGGACTCCAGGCCCTATTAGTGGGTCTGTGGTCTCTGGCCAAAGCTTTCACAGCTTCCCCAGAGAGCAGTGGTGTCTGCAAGATGTGCGTTTGGTTAACATGCTGGAGGGGCCTCTCATAAATTTCATGGCAACAGGAACTGAGTGGCTTTGAAACTCCAGCTGCTGGTGTTCTCGGTATGAGGTCTGTTCCGAAAATCGGAACATTTGCTTTTCCTATCGTCAGCCCCGAGTGCTACTCAGACTTGGTGTCTGGAGGAGGCCGGCCAGAGCTCTGGGGGCCAGGACCAGTCCTCTGCCCTCAGCTGGCACATTTTGGGGAGACTTTCTTTGAACATTTCCTGCTAGCCTTTGCCACCTTCCTTTTCTAAGTGATTTTTTAAAAAATTTCTAAGTCTCTAGACCTTTCCTTCCTTCACTATTTTCTTGAATTTTCAGAAAAAAAAGAGTGGGAGAGGGAGAGTGAAGGGAGGTAGAGAAAAAAATAGGGAGAGAGAGAAAAGCAGGAAGCAGAAAAGGCAGACTCAGATTGAGAGAGAGGCTGAGAGAATCATTCTTAGGAAAGATACCAGGAATTTGGGGGTTTCCTTGTAATGCTCATTTTTATAAAATAACTAGAGGCAGTTATACCCCCCAAGGAGGAAATGGTGCTCTAAGTTACCGAGCAAACCCTTGTCCATTGACGAGGTTATCTAAGCTTCATTTTCTTATCTAAAACATAGAGACTATTTAGGTTAAGGCAGGCCGCCTACCCTGCCTCAGCTTGGGGGATGATGTAAGGAAAGCCCCTGGCACCTAGCAAGCACTCAGTAAGTGGCACCCCCATCCCTGCCTTCCGCCACCTTCACCAAAGTGCCTTTCATAGGAATAGCCTTGTCTGCCTGGGCTGACCCTGCTGTGTATTGGGGGTGTTCTTTGCCGAGTCTGGGAGGATCTAAGACAAACACCTTTAAAGGCCCCCACACGAGAACAGTTACTCCTGCCTCACTTGTTGCAGATGGCTTTAGCAAAGCACATCAGCCCATAAGGCTTGCACAGCACCCTGGGGACATATAAGGCCCGATGCTACCCCTTCTATGGCTGGCTCACCCCAAAGGTGCACAGATGGCTCGCCTTTGGGACTGTGTTCTGACCCACTCCTCCCTGTCCACTTACTTCTTAAGTTTGATCACATCCCCTATTAGAAAACCCGTGACAAGCTCCAAAGCTGCCCAGCATGCCGGTGGAAGCAGGACCCATCCTGCACGTGGTGCACGTTGAACTTCTCCAGGACAGCACCCTGTGCAAAGAGCCTTGAACTTGAATTAAATGCTTGTTTTTAAGATATTTGGTTATATGCAGTGGGGGGAGGCATGTGGGGTATGCACGTAACAGAATAGAAGGAGTAAGCTTAGATGCGTGCTTATGTGCAGTGTCTACTTACATGGTTCTCTCTACATGGTGGATTACAGATGGGTTTTATTCTCTAATATGGTATTGATTATATATTGATTTATTTTAGTTTCCTAAAATGTATCACTTTTGTAATTAGAAAATGTCTTGAAACACTTGAAAAAGTTTCAAGAGTGAATGTATCATGAGTGTAGTTAGGAAAAGTTGTTTTTTTTTTAATAAACCATCTTTTAATGATAATCCGCTAGCATCAAGCTCCCACCATCCCCTCTGTGCCCCTTGGGCTAAGGCAGACAGGTGGAATTACAGAGGACAAGAAGCTTGCACACTAAGCCTCAGGCTCCTCGTTTCCACTCTGGTCTCTGAATACACAGAGTGAGACCACCACGTGTCATCTGCCATCACTGTTAACTGTTTTGTTGCATCACTGTTAACTGTTTTGTGAGTTTCTTCACAACTTGGACTCTTCTGGCTTCTTAGTGAGTTATGTGAAGTGAAGGAACTCACGTTTTATACTAGCAGATGCTTCTTTGGGAAATTATTCTGGATGTCATCCACCTTAGCACATGAAGTCTCCTTCAAAAACATCCGCAGAAGAGAAGTTGCTCTCTGACCATTGCTCTCCAACCATAGGCTTAGGGAAAGCCGAGCCTGTCCTGCTTGTGCAGAACAGGGATATATGTTCCTAGCAAATGAACCTTATACATGCTTGCTTAGACTGCCAGGAGGCATAGTGTTGGATTTGTCACTTAGCTCTGGCGTGTGCATGTGATTTTCTGCCGTCTGTCTTGGTGTATTAACCTGGTGCCTGTTTTGTTCATTGCTGCTCCTTACCCTTACTTTCCTTCGTCCCAATCTCTCCTTCCCTCCCTTACTTACTGCCTGTTTCTATCCCTCCCTCTCTCCCTCCCCTCTTCTCCTCTCTTCTTTCTCTCTCATCTCTCTTAACCCCATCTCTCTCCACTCTGTCTCCCTCCCTGTCTCTTTCCTTCCTTCTTCCCTTTTATTCCCCCTCCCTCTGTCTCTCTCCTCTTTCTCCCACACACACTTATTTCTTGTTTGCATTACCTTTTTATGGCACCTATTTTTATAACACTTCCTCATGTCAGTTATAAGAAGAGGCAAAGGTATCCATCAATAGGGGTGAAATGGGACCATAGCAGAGTCCACCCTTCTCCAATCAAGTTTTGGAGAGCAGTGTTCCAAAAAGACAGATTCTGAGTTTTCTCTTTCTTTGAGTGTATTTCTACTGACCTAATACTTTGTCAGGAAGAACCTCAGCAGATTTAAGGCTTTAGAATTGCACAGGAGTTTGAAGAGCTGGAAGATAATCAGCTCCAAAAAGGACCCCGGCCTTTCCACTTTTCCAAGAGCCCATTTACCCTTTCCTTCTGACACAAGCCTGTGTCTCCAACATTAATGTGCATCAGAATCACTTGCAGGGGGCTGGGCGCGGTGGCTCACACCTATAATCTCAGCACTTTGGGAGGCCAAGGCAGGTGGATCACTTGAGCTCAGAAGTTCAGGACCAGCCTGGGCAATGTGGTGAAACTCCATCTCTACTAAGATACAAAAATTGGCTGGATGTAGTGGTACGTACGTACCTGTTAATCCCAGCTACTCTGGAGGCTGAGGTGTGAGGATTGCTTGAGCCTAGGAGGCTGCCGTGAGCCATGAATGTGCCACTGCACTCCAGCCTGAATGACAAAGTGAGACCCTAACCCAAAAAAAAAAAAAAAAAAAAAAATCACCTGCAGGGCAGACATTACAGTATAGCAATTATATGTCAATAGGCCTGACTTTAAAAAATCACCTGGCAAGCTTGTCCCACAGATTGCTGGGTCCCACCCCAGAGATCCTGATTCAGTAGGTCTGGGCTGGGTGGGGGTAGCAGGCAGACTCAGGGGAATGTGAAGCTGTCTGTCAACAATTCACACTTGGAGGAACCCAGCTCAAAGCCCTGACAAGGGACTTTAGCCACTTGGAGGCAGTGGTTTAAACGGCCATTTGTGGAGCCTGTCAAAATCCTTTTTAAACATGTGCATTAAGTTAGATCCACTAGCCCAGCAGTCTCCAGCCTTTTTGGCACCAGGAACTAGTTGCTTGGGATTTTACACAGACTTGGGAGGGGTGCTGGTTTCAGGATGATTCAAGCACATTACATTTATTGTGTACTTTATTCTTATTACATTGTAATAGACAGTGAAATAATTATACAAGTCACCATAATGTAGAATCACTGGGATCCCTGAGCTGGTTTCTCTGCACTAGACAGTCCCATTTGGGGGTGATGGGAGACAGTAACAGATCATCAGATATTAGATTCTCATGAGAGGCATGCAGCCTAGATCCCTTTCATGCACAGTTCACAACAGGTTTCCTGCTCCTGTGAGAATCCAATGCCCCTGCTAATCTGACAGGAGGCGGAGCTCAGGTGGTAATGTGAGCAGTGGTGAGCAGCTGTAAGTACAGATGAAGCTTTGCTGCCTTGCCCACCTGCATTGGCCTCAAGAGTCTAGCCCTTTCATCTCTCTGTATTTGCTCCTTGACAGGTTCAGTGAGCACAGGGAAGCCAGTTATGCAAACCACAGCAGACCCTTCCTGTCTCACTTCTATATCCAGCATCCACTGTTAGCCAGTGAATGGGCCTGTTCCTCAGCCACTCAGACCAAGCACATGCAGGTGACTGCAACCAGTGCAGGCAACTGGACCCGACAGTCCTGCAGACTCCTGCTCAGAGGAGGGTCCAGCAGCCCCAGGTTGATATCTCCACCTGGTTTTGGGCTTCTCTGCTTGTCCTCATGTGTGAAAGACAGTAACTGTCATTAAGGGCTAAAGGGGACACTTGGACTTTTAGTTACGCCTCACTGAATGTATGGGGGGATTACATACTGGATCAGTTTTACCAGGTGTGGATATTCACCCGTATCTTGGGATTGTCAGTGATGACAATAGGAGAGCTAACAGCTGAGTGTCGTACTAGACAATCTTGAGTACAGAACTTAACAAGCGTTACCTCATTCAACCACAGAGTCACCAAGGAGATAGGGTACCCCCTATCTTGTAACTGCAGGACTAGGAGAGGCCAGCTGCTTCATCCAGGTGACAGAGGCAGGACTCAAACTCATGTCTCTGACTCCAAAGCCCATGCTTTTAACCACTGCACGGTGTGTCTCTTACAATGTCAAGGATTCTGTTGTATTTTTAGCCTCTGCTTTTCCCCTGGAATTACGGGATTTCTAAAATGATGACACTTCTAGAAGCAGCTCATGAATAGAAAAAGAGCAACAGGAGTTTAATATTTAGTGATGATCTAAAATCCCCCAAGATGTGAAATGCTCTGTCCTTGCTCAGAGAGTAAGAGCTCCAGGAACATGGGGTTTTTCCCCCAAAAACCTAAATGGGAAAGACCCACTGTTGAAATACCCAAAATACAAGCATTAAGAGGACCTGTCGAAAGAAGCTATGGAGTCTACATTGATGGAGCTGAAATAGCTACATCCTGGGCCTCAAATTTACTTTGGACAAAATGGGAGTGGAATAAAATAAGTCCAAAGTGCTGCCTGGTCAGCAGGTCTGTTGTGCGTCATAGTGCTCCTGAATTGGTTGGCTATTTTTATTCCTGTCTGAAACCCAAGGACGGAAAACCCTGAGAGGTTTGGCGACCACCCCAAGCTCTTGAGAGTCATGGTACCAGGACTCTGAATGGGACCCGTCTCAGCCCCAACTCTGCCCTTTTTTCTCTCTCCCCATTATGGGAAAGAGAAAAGAATTTCCCAACGCTGACTGTGCTGCTCTCACAGGGGTTTCTTACTCTAAGTAATCTTTTTTTATTTTTATTTAATTAAGTTCCAGGGTGCGTGTCCAGGATGTGCAGGTTTGCTGCGTAGGTAAACGTGTGCCATGGTGGTTTCCTCCACCTAACGACCCATCACCTAGATAGTAAGCCCAGCATGCATTAGCTCTTTTCCCTAGTGCTCTCCCCAACTCCTGCCCTCAACAGGCCCCAGTGAGTGTTGTTCCCCTCCCTGTGTCCATGTGTTCTTATTGTTCAGCTCCCACTTAGGAGTGAGAACATGCACTGTTTGGTTTTCTGTTCCTGTATTAGTTTGCTGAGAATGATGGCTTCCAGCTTCATGTCCCTGAAAGGACATTATCTCATTCCTTTCTATGTCTGCATAGTATTCCATGCTGTATATGTATCACATTTTCTTTATCTAGTCTGTCATTGATGAGCATTTGGGTTGATCCCACGTGTTTGCTATTGTGAATAGGCCTGCCATGAACATACACATGCGTGTATCTTTATAATAGAATGATTTATATTCCTTTGGGTATATACCCAGTAATGGGGCTTTAAGTAATCTTTACAGCCTTATCACTCCTAATCCTACCAAGAGAAGCCCTGCTACCATCTTACTGTGTATCGTTCCCTGACTTCATGTCTGATTTCTATTTGTGGTGGTGTTTTTTTGTTGTTGTTGTTTTTAAAGGAGGATCATATTATACAAACCATACTGGAAACCCACTTACTTTACTTACAGTATATCATAAGCACCTTTTTGCATCACTAACTATTCTGCCTCTGCATCAACTTAATGGTTACAGAATACTCCTTTGTACCTTTCTGCTGTTCTCTTGCTTTCAAAACAGATTTTTACAAAAGTCACTGTCACTTTGCAAAAGTGAAATTAGGTAGCTCTTGGGTTAAAATAGTAAAATTGTTCTGTTATCTTTGAATTACATTAATGGGGGGAGGAATTGTTTTGCTGTCTACAAAAACAAAAAGCTGGAAAGCACACCATGCAGAGGAGCTCTAGGCCCGTCCTAGGCTTCAGGAAGTAAGTGAGAGCTGAGGAGGAGGGGGTGCCCCAGGTGGGAACCCAAAGTCCCAGCCATCATGGGCTCCACCTTCTTGACTGGTAGGGCGGGAGTTGCGGGGTACACATGTCAACTGTTCCTGGATCTGAGCCCCGCGTCTTTCCTCTCCCCAGCAGACCCGCCCGTGGCCGCAGCAGTGGTGTCCCATTTTAATGACTGCCCAGATTCCCACACTCAGTTCTGCTTCCATGGAACCTGCAGGTTTTTGGTGCAAGAGGACAAGCCAGCATGTGTGTAAGTATCCCTTGTTCTCCTGGAGGTCTGGGGCTGGAGTCAGTCTAACATTCGATTAGAAGAGCATTTACCTCCATAAGACTTGCCAGAGGCCCCCGAGACCCTTGGAGCCAGACGTGTCAGAGGATTAGAAGTGTGGACTGAGGTACACCTTTTTCAAAACCAGCTGGCTAAAAATCCGGGTTCCAGGCCCCCCAGCCCAGAGCTACTGAAGTAGAACCCCCAGAAGTTCAAGTCTGGGGCTCTGCATTTTTAATAAGCATTTCAGATCCCTCATAGGTTTAACAAAGTCTGAAAATTCTTGGATTCGAATTATTTCATGACTTAGAATTTCTGGAGCACAAGGCACTGGGATGGATACCTTTGAGTGGCCAGATCCTCTAAGATGTGGTCTCTGCCCTCCAGCACCTTCACGTTCCAGCTCATAAAACAAGCCAGAAGCACAGGTGAAGGGCTAGTGTACGTAAATGGTAACAGAACCAGGAGTAGCTTAGAAATAAAGATGCAGGCCATGTATGGTGGTCTCCACACCTGGCTGAGCATCATCCTCCCGGTGGGGGCTTCTTTATATATTACTGAACCCTGCTCTGACCCACAGAATCAGAATCTCCAGGAGTGGGACCTGGGAATCACATTAGTTAAGAGCCGTGGTGATTGCCACAGTCAGCCAGGTTGGGGAAGAAAGTCACTCGAAGAAAGCTTCCCGGAGCAGGTGTCAGGGTGCGACCGGCTGGGAAGAGCAGAGAGGTTGTTGCAGGCCTCACGTGCTCGGGGGACCTGCTACTGCAGATCAGTGCAGCTACACCAGGGAGACAGGGAGGAGACCGATTAGAGACAAATTGGAGGCCAGAGCCTGTTGAAAGTTGTCTTTATTATTTAGGCAATGGAAGCCACGTGGTTTCAGAAAGACATATTAAAGACAATTCGTCTGTCTATAATAGAATACTATTAGGTGGACCCATATTGAAACTTGGCACTATTTTATCTGGAGCTGGACAGTTCTGTTGTGGATGCTGACCTACATACTGAAGGACGTGAGCAGTATCCCTGGCTTCTACCTACTAGATGCCAGTAGCATCACTGTCCCTGGCCATGACAGTCAAAAAATATCTCCAGACATTGTCAAATGTCCTCTGCGGGGCAAAACTGCCCCCAAGTTAAGAGTCATGGATCCATATGAAGTTGCCATTTTTATAGGTCAAAAATGGTTTTGGATCAGCAATTTCATACTAATCGTTAATAAAAACTAGCATCTATTAGGGTTTTGGTTTCATGCCAGGTACTGTTGGGAGCACAGTCTATGTGCAAACTCATTGAATCATACTGACCCCATGAGGAAGAAAGAGAGGCTATACCCAGCTTACGTAGCAGGGCTTGGATTCAAACCAGCCTCTCTGGCTCCGGAAGCTGAGTTCTTAGCCATGATGCTTAAAGCCATCAGATGCATCCGCCCAGGAGCCTGGGGACCAGGAGAGCCTGCTGCAGTAGGCGGTGTGGCCAGGGCTTTCCTCTGCCTGAGGTGCAGCTGTGTGAGCCTGGGCAGGCCCCTCAGGGTGCCCCTGAGCCTCACCTGGAGAGGACGGGGGAGAAGCACACTGGCCACCCTCCTCCTGAGAACACGGCAGGGCTAAGAAACTCTCCCAGATGACAGGTCTCGCCTCCACACCCTGTTAATACAAAGCACGATGATGATGATGATAGACACTGTCATTATTCATGATTAGCATTCTTATTAACAATAATTAACACACGAGAGGCCCCTGGAGGACTGATGGGGTTGTTTTCATAGTGGCCTGGTCATTGTGGAAAAACACTGGCCCTGAAGGAAGTTTGGCCTCTTGACCCAAATATCAGGAATCTTCCCTGTACAACAGGGAGAAGGCACACTCCCGCCAGCCATGTGCTGTGCTCAGCCCAGAATCAAGCATACACAGCCTCGTTCACCATGCTGTGAGCTGAGGGAATCCTCTTTGGAGAGAAAGGATGGGGCTTTACCAAGTTCTGACCCAAAGTGAGTCAGCAGCTCAGTTTTTCTTCCTCGGGTGCTCTCCCCACCAGATCAGGGCTGGTGCAAACTTACCAAGAGCTGGCAGCCAGGCGAGCCAAGCCACAACCATCTGTGTGAGGAGCACCCCCTCTTCAGCTGTGGGAAGCCTCCTGAAAGCTGGGCTGGGTGGATGCTCTCCTGTTCCCCTCTGTCCCAAGCCCTGCTCTTGGCCCAAGGGAGATATTGTAATTGTCCATCATATTCACACCCCCTTACACTTTAGTGATGAAGGTAACTGGCCATCTTTCTGCATTCACATCATACACGTTACTATTAATAATAGTAAGTGCTCAATAAAAGCTGAATTCATGGCAGACATCATACCCAGCACTCTGCATACCATAACCATGGTTCCTCACGACACCCTCTCAAGTAGGGATTATTACCCTTGTTGTATCAATGAGAAAGCTGGGGTTTGGAGAAGCTAAGCCACTTGCCCAGAGTCCCAGAGCTAGTCACTGGCAGAGGTGGGGTTCAGTCCCATCATTCCAGCACAGGAACCCATGCTACTGCCCAGAGGGTACTGTGCCTCCGCTTGGCAAAATTCACCTGAAACTACTCAGCTCTTGTTTCCAGGAAAGGTGCTGGCATCTTCCCCCTGCAAGTTAACCCTTCTCCTGAGAAAGGTTAGGGTCATCCCCAAGCTCAGTCCCCTGACCACAGACTCTTAGAAAGTTTTTCCTGTGGGTCAAATGCGGGGCTGCAGAGACAGCTGAGACACACTTGCATCTGGAAAAGCTGACCGTCTTGGGGGAGGCCCATCCATGCAAGCAATTACGCCTCTTTACCTCAGTTTCTCCCTGGATCTTGATGGCCCAGGGCCAGTATTCAGTCGACAGACATGCTTTATATGGCAACAGATAATGAGCCACATTGTTCTTAGGTGGCTTTAATCAGTTGTCAGCATTTTAGAAAGTCAGATTTCACATTTTCATGCAGATGCACGACTCCTCTTGAATAAGCAGAATGGCAACACGGGGCCTGAACTTCTAACACGGCCCCTCGGCTGGGACTCACTCAGGTGTGCTGCCCCAGACAGGCTCGCCCTCCCCAGCCCTTCATTCTCTGCCTTTCCCCACTATGCCCGACAGCAACGTGAAACATGGGTACCTGATCACCTGTTTCCCCTGCTGGTGCAAGAGGACCGCTGCTCTGCTTACACCAGCTCACCTGGCTCCCTTTTTCATCTGCGGGACCCCTGGGGGCTTGCCTATGTTCGGGACAGGGTCCTCTGCAGGACCCTCGGATGGCACTCCTTACCCCACAATGGCTTGTAAGCTCTGGGAAGATAGGACCACACCTTATCCCTTTTTGTATTTACAGTACCCAAAAGAATGTTCTAATGAATGAATTCCCACTAGACCAGAAACTCTTGAGTGCATGCGGAGAAAGCAGAACATTCTGTCCCTGTTCCTGTGACTCGCCCAGCCCTGGGAAGCTGACACATTCTGGTCAATAAAACTGACATACCCTGAGGTCAGGCCCCATCTGTCATAGCC